TCCTTTACTTATTAACATAGTGAATTATATTTGTTGATTTGGGGATGTTAATCTAAACTTACATTCCTGGAATACACTGTACACTTGATCATGATGCATTATATTTTTTACATATTTCTGGATGAGCTGGGTAACATCGAGTTTTGGATTTTTGTGTCTATATTTATGAGAGATATTGGCTAGTAATTTTCTTTTTTTGTAACATCCCTGTCATGTTTTGGTATTAATGCTATGCTTGTTTTATAAATGAGTTGGGAAATATTCTCAAAAGTTTGTGTAACAAGCTTTCTTTTCCTTCTTCCTTAAATATTTGGAAGAATTAACCAGTGAAATCACCTGGGATGGGAGTTTTCCTTATTTGAAAGTTCTTAATTACAGATTCAATTTTAAAAATAAATATAAAAGTATTTAGATTTTCTATTTTTGTGTATCTGTTTTGATGTTGTTTAAAGAAATTTGACCATTTCATATAAAATTTCCAATTTATTGGCATTAAGTGATTCACAGTATCTTCTTTTTCAAAATCATTTCTTCCCTTCTATTTTTGTTGGCAGGATGAACTAATTTGCTCTTCTTTTTCTAGTTTATTGAGATGAAAGCTTAGGTTTCATTATTATTTCTATTGTTTTAAACAGTCAATATTATTTTATATTTTGATATATTACTCACATATTTACTCTTGCCAATGCCCTTCACACTCTCCTGCAGTTCAGTACTTACATCTGGGATCATTTTTTTTACCTTGAAAATTTTCTTTTAGTATTTCTTATAATAAGATAATGTTTGAAACAAATTCTCTCATCTTTACACACTTAAACACATTTTTATTATCTTTATTTTTGAAGGAAATTATCACTAGATATAGAATTCTAAGTTGGCATGTTTTTTGTTTTGTATGGTTTTCCATTTAGCATTTAATAATGTTATTCCATTGTCTTCTGGATTCCATTATTTCTGTTTATATGTTAAATGTTGCTCCTTTGGTGGCAATGTGTTGTTCCCCCCACCCCCAATGATGCTTTTACAATTTTCTCTCTCTGGTCTAAAGAATTAGAGGACAGAATTCAAAGCAACCACAGACACCAGAAAGTAATGAGGGAATCCATGAAAGGACACAGCCAGAGAAGGGACATCCTGAGTTCTGCCCAGCTGAAGATAAATGAACAGACCTAAGATTTGAATTGCTGGCTAAGAGACAATTTTCAGTTTGCAGCCAACCTGATTGCCTGCTAAAACAGAGACATCAACATTTTTTGGAGGAACATAGTTGAATCCAAGTTGGCACAATATAACATTTCCAATGTCCAGGATACAATTCTATTTCAACAGAAATAACAATCAATAGAGATGGACCATAAGATGACCTAGATGTTGGAATTAGCAAACAAAGATTTTAAAGCATTTACCACAACTATTATCAATGATGTAAAGGAAAACATTCTCTGATGAATAAAAGAGGTTTCAGTAGCAAAACAGAAATAATAAAAAAGAACCAAATGTAAATTTTAGAATGAAATATAATACCTGAAATTAAGCATTCACCAGATAGGTTTAAGAAGAAAATGGAGAAAACACAGGAAAGAGTAAACAGGAAGACAAATCAATAGAACATATACAATTTAAAGAATGTATTGAAAAAAATAAGTACAGCCTCAGGGACCTATAGAACAGTATCAAATGGTCTATCGTGAGTAGTTAGAGTGTCAGAAAAAAATAATGACAAAATTTCCCAAAATTGTAAAAAACACAAATTTACAGATTCAAGAAGTTCAGCAAAACTCAAGCAGGATAAATGTGAAGAACCTGCCTAGCAATATCATTGTCAAACTGCTAAAAACCAAAGATAAAGGGAAAATCTTGAAAACGGTCTGAGAAAAGTGACACATTCTATTTAGGGAAAGAACATTTCAACTTACGAATGACTTCTTATCAGAGAAACTGGAAGCCAGAAGGTAGCAGAATAACATCTTTAAAGTGTGGATCACAAAAATCTGTCAAATCCGAATTCACTAAACGGAAAAAATATTCGTCAAAAATTAAGACAAAATAAAGAGATTTTTAGATAAAAGAAAACTGAGAGAATTTATCAGTAGCAGACGTGCCATACGAGAAATGCAAGGGAAGTTCATCAGGAAGTGCAGAAGGGAAATGATACCAGATGGAAACTTGGGTTTTCAAGAAGGAAAGAGGAGCATCAGAAATGGTAAATATCTGGGTAAATATAAAAAATAATGTTTCCTCTTAATTTCTTACATATAACTGTTTAAAGCACAAATTAAAACATTGTTTATGGGGTTTATAATTACATAGATGTAATACATGTGACAATTATAGCATAAAGGCAGGATAAGAGATGAATGGAACCAAATTAATACATTTGGAATTGAAGCATTATCTAGATGTGCTCAGCCTGTGAAACAAAAGATACAAATGAGAGAACATTTCTATCCTTAAAGAACATGATTACCTAAAACAGACTAAAAGTTGGAAATGAAAAGAAAAATAAAAGGACATTGCCAAATGCCAACTACTTGAAAAAGTGAAGTGTGATACCTTAGTTCAAACATGAAAAATGAGGAGATGCAGGCTGCATTTTTCCGTAATGCCCAGGGCATTGGAACTAAGAAACAGTTACTCAGGGAAAGAGGAAAGTGCTTAGTTCAAGTGTTTTTGGTTTTGTTTTTAACAAATCCTCACTTTCTCTACTAGTTTTCCAAGAGCTCTGCCACTTACCTGAAAAGTGTGGTCACCCTGGCTTGTGAGAAATACGAACAGGAGCTCAAATGGATTTGAGATTCTCCAGAAGAGAGAACAATGACGGAATGGGAAGCAGGAACTGCCGGCAGATTTCCATTTAAATTAAAGCCAAATTTCAAATGTTTTAATGGAAAAGAATCATTCACATTTCCTTAATTTAGTAGATGTAAATTATTTATACTATCACATTAAATGGTCTATATAGTCTAATTTTAACAAATAAATTTTTCTCCATGGGAAATATTTCAATATTCATAGAATAGTTTTAATTAAAAATTCACTCTTAAGAATATTAATTACTATATGAATCCTGTGTGGACTCAAAGTAAATGGCTAACCCTATTTTCAGTTATCATTTTAGAACTTCATTCTCCACTATTTATTGTTAATGAAGATTTGAAAGAAAAGAAGTAATTTTTTGATACAAACTCAACTCCAATATAATTAACAAAGTCACATATTTATTCATAAAAATCCATGAAAAAACTTAATATGCTAAATGTATGAGAAGTCTTTCTTTTAAGCGGTAACACTTTTCAGAAAAATTCCCAAATAAAGTAAGGTATCCCTTCCACAATATCACAGCCGAAACCTAAGCATGGGAAAGCTCCTCAGAGGACATCCTGGGCAAACTCCCACCCACCCTGCAGGGACTTCTGTTACAGCATTTATAGCAGGTAGCTTTCTGAGTCTGCTTGTATACTTCCAATGAGTGGCAGGTGGGGTTTACCATCCATAGTCCAGCCTGTTCCACTGCAGGTGAGCTCTGATTGCAGAAAAGTTCTTCCTGTTGACGAGTAGAAATCTATATTCTTAAAATTTCAACCCACTTGGTATAGTTCTAGCATCCATAAGCACCTCAAATTCCAATTTGTGTTTGTATATATGTGAGTACATGTACATGCATGTGTGCATATGTGTAACATATATGTATGAGTGTGTACATGTGTGTGTGTGTGCATATAAAATGCCAAGTCAGCTAATAGGAAAATCTTCAAACTATGTTCAATAAGGAAATGCAAACATGAGTTTTTAGGATACTATATTTAACAAGACTATAAAATACAGCTGCTAAGCACTGCAAGAGTTGTTAACAGACTAGAGAGGATGAAGGGAATTCAATAAACTTATATTCATAATATGGTAAAAATATATTTCAAAATATCTGGATCATTAAATGTTAAGCTTATTATGTAGACATTTGCTATCAAGTAGACGAAGTTCCCCACCAGTAAATCAAAATTAACCAGCAGGTCACTCTAATGGGTCTCTTTCGGCACGTTTCTGCCAGGAGCCTTACGTGGACGGGCGTGGGCCAGCAGTGCTGCACCTTCCTGGAGGAGGCTCAGGATCCCCCTCAGTCCCCTCCACTCTGCCTACCTCTAGGCTTCAGAGCACAGAGAAGGAGCAACTCCTCCCAAGAATCCTGGGCTGCCCTGAGGGGAACACAGCCCCCAGCTGGCAGGGTGCTCAATTATTAAAGAAGAGCTGAAATATGCTCGTTAGAGTTCAAAACAAGAAAGAGCACAAACATAAAGAAAAGTTTTCCACAAACAGAAACAAAAGGAAAAAGGGTTTGGATAAATTGTCAGGATATCCAGTTAGTAGAACACAACCTAGGATTAAGCAAAATGGGACTAAATTTTATTCACCAAAAAGAATAAAACTATATTAAGATCTAATAAGGTAAAATGATAAAACTATATAAACAGTTTTAGTTATAAAATCGGAAACACATAACTGGATAATGTAATGTCTTTTTCTAGGTAATACATAAACCCATTCCAAATTGTATAGCAAAATTTATTAATTTTGACCCATGGGCCAAACCTGGCATACCACCTGTTTTTATAAATAAATCTTTGCTGGAAGATGGGCCACGCTCGTTCCTTGGTTGTCTCCGCCTATTTCTATGCTACAACATCAGAGTTGAGATGTTGTAACAGAGGCTGTTATGACCCACAAAGCCTAAAATATTTACTATCTCTTCCTTTACAGGAAAAGTTTTCAGACCTCTGCCCTATACAATCACGGATCTTAAAACAAACATGCAGGCCACCCTGGTAAACCAGGATAACCTCAGGGGAGGAAAGAACTTCACCTTCATCACGCAGGTCCTTTGTTACAGACCAACGACAAGAAAGACAGATTGCAAAACAATGTTCCAAGTATTGTGAGGGTATTTTACAGTATGGAGAAATGAAATAACTGTCCGTCCTATTTGTTTTGTTGGTTCTTCCTACCTGTTTTTCCTCCTCTTCATCTGAAGTGCTACTGACATCTTGGACATTTCCACCGGGTCTGCTGGGTTGGTAACCTTTCAACTCTTTTTGAATAGACCAGTTCTTTTGATCTTTTATGTTTTCCTCATCACTTCCTGGGTCATTTTTCCATTCCTTCATCATTTCTAACACATTGGTTGGTCTTGCCGAGGAAAGTGTGTTGCCCTAATATTAACAATGAATTTTTGGTGTTATAAACAGTTTAGGAAATTGAAAAGATTCTTACATCATTTAGTAATATATTCTCCCAAATTCTGTAAGTCACATGGAAAAATTATAATGCTGAACAAATAGCAAAACTTCTGATGCCCTTTGGAGCACACTCCCTGTACTGACATGGCTCATACCTCTTGACTAATATCATTTACAATATGTCACAGTTTAGAGGGGAATATTCAAGTTTAAAAGAACAATGCAGCATGCTTATGCAAAGGACACTAGACAGGGCAATACCCTGGAATCAAGACGCCCTTATAGCACTGTTCTTAGAAAAATAACAGGGAAGCTGAAAGAATGAAAGAAGTTGCCCAAAGTCTAGTGGGTTCAGCGCTAAGGGCAAGCCTATATAACGTCAAAATGTCTAGGTAAAAAATCTAAATTCAGTTGATTGGGCAAGTGTTGTGTCCAAGAATACAGATGTTTGATTTGAAAGCCCATAGTTGACTGGAAGATTTAGATATAATATGGTCATTCGGTTATAATTGACTCAGTGTACTGCCTTTATCCCAGATGTGACTATACCATACCAAAATTGACCATTTTATATTAACTATATTTTTCTGAAATATAATATTCCATTTAATGCCAAGAAATACACGAATGCAGTCTCAAGTAGCTCCTGCTAGACCAGTATGCCTTAAATATTTTTGCTCCTAACTCAGACTATTAGAGAAAGTTTGAACAAGAAGTTTGGATCCCATTCAGATTAAAATGGGAAGTTTGGGTGTGGGCACAGCTATGGAATGATTCTAAATTAATTTTGTATGTGGGTGGATTGACACATTAAGCATCAGTGACACAGAATACTATAAGACAGGCACTTTAAGTACAGCCATCTGAGTACACTGTCAAGGATTTGTAGAATTTATTATATTAAATTTTATGTTAAAGACATAGACAAACATTATGTTTGGCATAGTAATAACTAAATGAGGATCATTATGCAATTAATTCCCTGTGGTTCTTCTCTTTCATCCTGTTTTAAGAAGGTCTATATTCTTACCACTTTTATAACATCCTACTGCTTGCACTCATGCACCCTTTACCCATTCACTCCCAGAATGCCCTTATCATGCCTTCTGCCAACCCATGGCCTCACTTCCTTCAAGGCTCAATTTGAGAGTCATCTCTGTCAAGTATCCCAGAACTTCCAAAGATGTTGTCAATTTAAACTCAAATGAAGTACAGACAGAGGCTCAGAGACCATAAAAGAGTTGAAATCGTTTAGAATGGTAGATAGTCTTAGAGCTCTCATCTGAACGAGTTCTGATCTCCAGGGCTCTGTCAACAGCCCTGCTTGATCCCTATGATCCATCTAGACTCTATTACAACACAACTCTCTGGCTCGTCCTGACCTTTAAACCTAGTTTTCATGTAATCCCAGTGTCCAGGCTCCTGGATGGCTAATACACACAACTTTGCCTCAACTTGATTCTTTCACTAGCGGAGACAAGCTGACACATCTCTGTCTGTAATCCCAGTCCTCCGCTGCCCTTCCCTATTAAACTTCCCACAAGCTATCTCTTTGGATATGGTAGTAATCACTAATGCTGCTCACTTAACCTTTCCTCTTTCTTTTAGGCACATGGTAGTATTTTGATTCTCTACCTCTTTGGGGACATGATGATATGACTTGTTTTAGCCAATGAAATGTGATTGGAAATGGTATGCATCACTTCTGGGTGGAAATTTTAAGAGATAAGGTGCAATTTATCATGTTCCCAATTTCTGCATTAGTAACTACAGAAGCATAGATATGGAGCCTCCCTCAGCCTGAGTCCCTCAGTGAGGACAAAGTAAATCAGAGCCTTCTCCTCTTCTTGTAGCCAATGTGTGACGGGCGGCATCAGGAGCACTGAGATTTGGGGGTTATCACAGCATAATCTAGCCCAACATGCTTAGCAAATTAAACGTTTACATTCTGGTAAGTTACCTCCAAAAAGCCTTAAAAATAGTGAGCCCCCTGTACAAGCAGCACATCCAACAACATTGTCATTAGTACAGAAATCATATACAATCAGTACCACGTGATAGCCCATTTATTTAGGCAGTCCTTGCTTCGCACAGTCCTCATATGTATGAATTTCAGTCAGCGTGACTTAGTTAAATAATATCAGTTCCCCAACAACACAGCTCAAATTTCAGTCACTATGGTACATTAACTATAACTGCATAAAGCTCAAACTTCACTGCAAGCTCTTCAGTCCAAGGTCACCATGTGAATTACAGATGTGCATCATGGTCAGAGGTGAATCCTGTCACCTCTTTCAGTCTGCTGGTGACTGGACACTGTGCATCTGTTACTCACTTCACACACAGACAGCAAAGTATACAGCTGTGTTGCCTCCTTGTCTCCCGGGGAATTTGCCAACAAAGATGAAAGTGCAGCAAAGAAACTAAAAGTGATAATGCTGGAAGGGAAATCTGAACCAAATGTAAATGGAGTAATAGAAGAATAGCCACCAAGGGAATGTTGACACTGCCGCCATTTGGGAGAATCCAGACATGCAACCAAAGGAACTTTGTGAAGGCAAACTTACCAGCAAAAATGAGGAACGTGGCCGTGACAGAGAGGATGAAGATGCCCCAGAGAAAGTGACGCCCATAAAAACTTGACATTTAAAGAATTTTCTGAGATATTTCATGACATTGAAAACACAAAGGATGAAATGGTGGAAGTTGATTCAAACTTAGAAAACAGTATGACAACTCATCAAGGCACAAAAGAGATGCTCCCCTCTGCAATGTAACTTATACGACAAGAAGAAGCAGGCGAGCACTGTTTAATCTTTTTTTTTTAAGATTTTATTTTTCCTTTTTCTTCCCAAAGCCCCCCGGTACCTAGTTGTGTATTTTTAGTTGTGGGTCCTTCTAGTTGTGGCATGTGGGACGCCGCCTCAGCGTGGCCTGACGAGTGGTGCCATGTCCGTGCCCAGGATCCAAACTGGCAAAACCCTGGGCCGCCGAAGCAGATTGCGTGAACTTCACCACTCGGCCACGAGGCCGGCCCCTAACCTAATCTTGGTAAGTTTTTTACAAAAGTATAAGACACTTTAGTTCTATTATTTCTAATGTTTTAAGGTACACTAAAAAAACAGTTTTGCTTTTGTTTCATTCTCTATATTTATGACCAACAGTTAGAAAGTTTTTAATATTTAACAAAAAGTTTTAAAGAACATGGAAAAATCATAATGTTTTCCATTCATTATTAAGATCACTCTGCACAGTTTCAAACTGCATTGTTATTTTTATGGTCCTGCACTACTGTGCAAAGCAAGGACTGCCTGTGTTGTCTTGAATCTGCATCTCTAGCAATCTTTCAAACACTCGCTTCACATATACATGCACCCAAGAGCTTGGTGACTGACACCCTACGTGCCTAAAGTAGAGTGCCTTTGTAGTCAAAGAAACGACCCTATTTCTTCTCAAGAGATTGTGGAGAAGAGCAAAGGATCTAGAATAGGAGCATTATCCCCTCAAAAACACTCCACCATTTGGACATTTTCTTTTTAATTGAGGTTAGGACAGTTTACAACATTGTGAAATTTCAATTGTACATCAGTATTTGTCAGTCACTATAGGTGCACCCCTTCACCCTTTGTGCCCACCCTCCCCCCCCTTCTCCCTGGTAACCACTAAACTGTTCTCTTTGTCCATGTGCTTATTTATCTTCCACATATGAGTGAAATCATACAGTTTGTCTTTCTCTGTCTGGCTTATTTCGCTTAACATAATATCCTCAAGGTCCATCCATGTTGCTGCGAATGGGACGATTTTGTCATTTTCTATGGCTGAGTAGTATTCCATTGTGTATATATACCATATCTTCTCTATCCAATTATCAGTCAATGGGCATTTGGGTTGCTTCTATGTCTTGGCTATTGTGAACAGTGCTGCAATGAACATAGGGGTGCATAAGTCTCTTTGAATTATTGATTTCAAGTTCTTTGGATAGATACTCAGTAGTGGAGTAGCTGGGTCATATGGTATTTCTATTTTTAGTTTTTTGAGAAATCTCCATACCGTTTTCCATAGTGGCTGCACCAGTTTGCATTCCCATCAGCAGTGTACAAGGGTTCCCTTTCTCTACAACCTCTCCTATATTTGTTATTTTTTGCCTTGGTGATTATAAGCCATTCTAACGGGTGTAAGGTGATATCTTAGTGTAGTTTTGATTTGCATTTCCCTGATGATCAGTGATGTTGAGCATCTTTTCATGTGCCTATCAGCCATCTGTATATCTTCTTTGGAGAAATGTCTGTTTATATCCTCTGCCCATTTTTTGATCGGCTTGACTTTTTGTTCAGCTTGTTTGATTTTTTGTTGTTGAGTTGTGTGAGTTCTTTATATATCATGGAGATTAACCCCCTGTCAGATATATGATTTGCAAATATTTTTCCCAGTTGGTGGGTTGTCTTTTTGTTTCGATCTTGGTTTTCCCTGCCTTGTAGAAGTTCTTTACTCTGACGAAGTCCCAGTTGTTTATTTTTTCTTTTGTTTCCCTTGTCTGAGAAGACATAGTGTTTGAAAAGATCGTTCTAAGACCAACATCAAAGAGTGTACTGCCTATATTTTCTCCCAGAAGTTTTATGGTTTCAGGTCTTACCTTCAAGTCTTTGAACTATTTTGAGTTTATTTTTGTGTATGGCATAAGAGAATGGTCTATTTTCATTCTTTTACATGTGGCTGTCCAGTTTTCCCAACACCATTTATTGAAGAGACTTTCCTTTCTCAATTGTGTGTTCTTAGTTCCTTTGTCAAAGATTAGCTGTCTGTAGATGTGTGGTTTTATTTCTGGGCTTTCAATTCTATTCCATTGATCTGTGTGCCTGTTTTTGTACCAGTACCATGCTGTTTTGATTACTGTAGTTTTGTAGTATGTTTTGAAGTCAGGGATTGTGATGCCTCCAGCTTTGTTCTTTTTTCTCAGGATTGCTTTAGCAATTCGGGGTCTTTTGTTGCTCCATATGAATTTTAGGATTCTTTGTTCTATTTCTGTGAAGAATGTCATTGGGATTCTGATTGGGATTGCACTGAATCTGTAGATTGCATTAGGTAGTATAGACATTTTAACTACATTTATTTTTCCAATCCATGTGCATGGAATGTCTTTCCATTTCTTTATGTCGTCATCAATTTCTTTCAGTGATGTCTTGTAGTTTTCAGTATAGGTCCTTCACTTCCTAAAAATATGGAATGCTTCATGCATTTGCAAGTCATCTTTGTGCAGGGGACATGCTAATCTTCTCTGTATCATTCCAATTTTACTATATGTGCTACCAAAGCGAGCACCATTTGGAAATTTTTAACTCTCTGCTTCCTGTATTCACTTGTGATACTGAACAGGGTACAAATGGTGCTATTGATTCCAGACTTTCCTTGTTGTCTAAAGTCCAGCCAATAACTTACTAGACTACTCCCTTCTTGCTTGCTAGCAGTTGGAGGAGGTATTGCATCAAACACGTGGACTGACCGATGAATAAGTGGCCCAGGCCTACATAGCATGAGCCTTCTAGGTTCAACAGAAATTACAAATGAACCAACCAAACAAAAACAGGTGGAATTGTTAGGGCAGACAGTGTAGAATGCGTCACCCCACCATCAGAACACTATCCTCTGAACTCCCTTTACTGGCTGTATTCAGGGGGTCAGACACTGAACTCATCAACTAGATGAGAAGGAAAGAAGGGAGCAGTTACAAGCTGATAATCTGAGGCTATCACAAATAGAAATCCAATCTTTTGGTTAATAAATTTCTACTTGTTTAACCAACAGATACTTGAGACTATTTTATTTTGGAAAATCTGAAAAAATGAACACTCGTGGAGGAAAAGTATTGGTCAAACACTAAGATTTGAATTCAATATCTTAGCAGACAGGTCCCACAAATGGGGACCCAAATATATGTCCTCATCTAACAAAATTTGCCTTTTCAAGGACAGTGCCTATCAAGATTTTGTAAATAATAAGTATTTTTTTAAATGAATGTATGAATGATATGTATGAGCTGGGATGAGATGATATGAAACACAAAATCAGCAAAGCTAAAAGGACACATCCTTGGTCTTTAGCTTATAGTCATCATTTTCTACTTTTTGTAAGTAGCTAAAACTCTTCATTTTGTAATGTTCCTAGGAATAAAATGCTTTCAATAGAAAAATGGAATAGTCTCTTTATTAAAAAAACATATACAAGGATGTTCAACTTCACAAAATTAATAAAACCCAAATCAAAACAATGAGATGCCAATTTTCACCTAATAGATGGACATAAAATTAAGTCTGATAATACTCTGTGTAGGTAAGGGTGTGGGGAAACAGGCTGTCTCATTTACTTGCTTTTTATGGGAGGGAAAATTAGCAATAACCTATCAAAATGTGTAATGCATATTCTCTCTGACCAGTAATTCCACTTTTAAGAATTTATCCTATAGATATGCTGACATAGTATGCAAATATATATTTACAAGAACAATTGTTGCACCACTCTTTGTAATAGGAAAGATCTGAAACAATTTAAATGTTCCATATTCATAGGGAGTTATTTACAAAATAACAGTGTATCCATAGTTTGGGATATAATGCTGCTTTTTTAAAAATTAAGGAAATCTTCCCAAGATATAGGAAATAAAAAAGAACAGTTTGCATAATATGAACCCATTTGTGTAAAGTATGCACATAAAAAAGCATAGAACATTTTTGAAAGAATACATGAGACAACAATGGTTATCTTCAGGAAGAGGGAAGGAGGGAATGGAGGAGAAAGCTATTCTTCCTGTTTTGTTTACCATTAAACCATTTACCACGGGAAATCTCAACTATTACCTTTATATGACTAATAATTAATGTAAATTACAAGTAGAAAAAGATATAATGTAAGTTGTCGATACCCACAAAGGACTGATAGCACGGAAAAAAACCACCAAACATGCCCTAATGGGTCTCAGTGAGTCCAAGACAGCAGCACAGCACGGTAATTGTAACCACTAAAGTAAGCAACTGTGGGCCACTCTCAAATTCTTCCTAACAAAGTCATCTCAGTGATTTTTTCACAAGTATAGCAACTACGTGAGTAGACAAGGTTGGTGTTGATATTCCTATTCTTCAGGAAAAAACAGCCTGAGAAATTTAGCAACTTTCCCTTATTCCAGAAGTGCATTTCCAATCGCCTGCCAAGATTTCTAGCTAGAGGCGTTGCTAAGCCTTCAATACTATATTGTATATTTGAAACTTGCTAAAAGAGTAGATCTTAAAAGTTCCCATCACAAGAAAAAGAAAAATTGTAACTATGTGAGGTGATGGGTGTACTAACAAAACTTATTGTGTAATCATTTTGCAATGTATACATATATCAAATCATTATGTTGTACACCTTAACTTTATATAATGTTATATGTCAATTATATCTCAATAAAGCTGGAAAAATAAAAACAACTTCAACATATTCCAAACCAACATTCTCTAAACTGGGGTACGCATACACCTGGCTACATGTGAAGACTTTCCAAGGGATGTGTGGGCAGGGACGGTTTTCAGGGAATCAATTTCAAGACCCTCAATTTCCAATGATATATTCTTTTTCAAAAGTCATCTGCCTAAACAAAGATGTGCAGTAATTCTTTCCATGTCCTTTTTAAGTCAGAGTCAAATGTGCTTCTTGTAAATACATTTAGCTAGATTTTTAAAAATTCAATCCAATAATGTCTTTCAATAGGCATTTCAACCCATTAACTTGTAATTTTTTTACATTTGGATTTGTTTCTACCACTTAAGTTTATTTCAATTTGTCCTACTCTTTGTATGTTTTTTGATCTTTTCCTACTTTAAAAATCTGTTGTCTGCATCTTCCCTTTTAGCACCCTCTCATGTGCCCGTGTTCTCTCTCCCCTCTCAATGCTTATCATGTGGATATTATCTCACATTTTAATTGTGAGTTATTATGAATATACTTTTTCTGAATCTTTAGTTTTGCTTTTTTTTTACACCTACAAACTTTATGAAGACTCTTGCTGTAAACAGCTCTTGCTGCATCTACTGGATTTGTTTTTCCTCCTATTTAATTACCTCTACCAAATGTTTTAAGCGTAGGACATGTGTGGCAAATCTTCTGAGGCTTTGTATATTTGAACATTTTTTTTTCCTTTAAGATTGGCACCTGAGCTAACAACTGTTGCCAATCTTTTTGTTTTTCCTGTTTTATCTCCCCAAACCCCACCCCCCCAACCCCGTACACAGTTGTATATCTTAGTTGCAGGTCCTTCTAGTTGTGGGATGTGGGACGCCGCCTCAACGTGGCCTGACGAGCGATGCCATGTCCACGCCCCGGATCCGAACCCTGGGCCACCGCAGTGGAGCACGTGAACTTAACCACTCGGCCACGGAGCCGACCCCTGAAAATATTTTTATTATTCCCTTTCATTTGAATGACAATTTGGATGGATATAAAAGTCTAAGTTTAAAGCTCTTTTTCCTTTAATACATTTAGAATGTTACTCCATGTAAGCTTCAGCCAATGTTACTGCTGAAAAGTAAGACGTCACTGTGATTCTTGTTCTTTTTGATACGATTTGCTCTTTCTTTCTGGGAGCTTTTAGAATTTTCTCTGTGTTTTTGATATTCTTAAATTTGATTATGTCTATTAGTCAGTTTTTCCTTATCTCTCTTATTTGGTAGTCTATCATCTCTTTAAAGCTGAACTCTTTCTTCTTTTGTTAATGCTGATGAATTTACCTCTATTATTTCTTTAAATATTTCTTCCTCCCTCTTTGTACTTTTCTGAGACTCCTATTACATGGATTTTGACACTTTTACTTTTAACTCCATATATATTAACTTTTCTTTTATATTTTCAATTTGTTTATCTTCTGTTTCCTTCTGTAAAAGTTCCATAATCTGATCATCTAGAGTTTTAATTCATTCTTCAGCTGTACACATTCACTATTTACCCTACAAAATAACTGCATTCTATATTTCAACTATTGTACTTACCTGTAGGTACTACTTGGTTGTGTTATCATTTCATAGTCTTGCTTCATATTATTAACATCTTCCCTTATCTCTTTTCATATGTTCACTTTGTTGACTTTTAAATTCTTGGACTGCCTATTCTAAACTCTCCTACTGGTGTTTGAAACTTGGCCTATAAGCTCATATTCCACAGGAAGTACTGGTTCCCCAGGAGACAGGGCATGGTTCTCAGGCCGGATGCAGGCCCTCAGCCCCGGGAGCTCAAGGAAGAGAAGTGGGTAGAACCCTAGGCACCAAACACCTGCCCCCACTAACCAGCTCCTCAGCTGAGGGGTTCATCCTCATCAACCTTCTCCTCCAAAGAGAAACCCCCTTAGGAGGCCCTCCTAAAAGTAGAACCCACCAGCGGTTCTAGGGTTTGGAGGTCAACAGCAAGAAGTCAATGGCTAAAACTAGTCAATTCCCACCCAATTTTCGTTAGCTTCTTACTCACACAGGCTTCAGTGCTGCTCTGATTTTATTACCTGAGACCCCTGTGAGGGGACAGGCATCCAAGTCCCAGGGCAGAGGAAGAGAGGCAACGGGTGACGTGGGCTGTTTTTTCTTCCTATTTTAACTTCCTGCCCTGGCTACAGCCTCGCCCACCATACACACCAGCTCAAAACATCCCTTTATCTTCCCAGGGGCTTCTCACACTATTCACCGAATCCTGGTATCATGAGGTTTCTCTCTAAAGTTACTCCAGGTTTAATCTTCAGAGAAGATGCAGTAGTCTGTGCTAATTCAGTATCTTGGCAGGAACCAGAGCCTCCTCCAGCTGGCCTTCCGCTAGGTGTCTTTTGACATATAACTCAAACAGATTTAAAGAACTGAGTGATATCGCTATGTCAGAACTCCTTCCATTCCTGTCTGCTTATTTATGTAAGATTCCCAGTGCCTATATCTGGAAAAACTAAAAACAACAATATAATCAATGCTGAACACTATCTCTTTCTGACAATGAGTAATATTCAATCACGGATGCATGCACTATTTGGGGGGAAATGCAGCCCCATGCTGCCACTAAAGAGATGTATTTCCCATATAGTTTTACTTGTTATCTTTAAGAATTATAAAAAATTATAATTATGTTCTCTTGATCAAATCTAAAATCATAATGATAAATCATTCTGGAATAATTTTTAAACATTTAGAGCCTAGCGTCACAGGAAATAGCAAAAATTTAAATATAAATTTGAACTTTTTTTGCAAAATGAGACAAATGGTAGGGTGATTAATAAAAGCCTTTCAAGCAAAAACATACTTTACGTTAAAGTAAATTCTATG